CCCTGTGGATTTTTTTCTAAGAAATTAACTGAGACAGAAAAGAGATATGACATTGGGGACAGGGAATTATTGGCTATTATCTCTGCTCTCAAGGAGTGGCGCCATCTGTTAGAAGGGTCAACCATTCCCATCACCATCCTTACGGAACACAAAAACCTTTCGTATTTTGGAGAGACTAAAAGAATGTCAGACAGGCAGATTAGATGGTCTTTATTTTTAACACGATTCAATTACATAGTAACTTACAGACCAGGATCAAAGAACACTAAGGCTGACGCCTTATCCCGTCAACATGAACACTTATCACCTACAGTAACTCATTTTTCTTCCATAATCCCATCCAACCACATAATCGCCACCGTCCATGCCAAAATCTCTTCAGGGTTAATGGAGGAATTATCTAGGTTTCAGGATCAGACCTCATTGACTGTTCCCAGGGGAAAATTATACGTACCCTTGGCTTATAGGAAAAAGGTCTTATTCCTTGTACACAACTCCAAATTGGCAGGGCATCCAGGCATTCACAAAACTGAGTCTTTACTCGAAGAACAGTTTTGGTGGCCTTCATACAAGAAGGACGTTCACGAGTTCATTCTTGCTTGTAGGGTCTGTGCCTCCACGAAGTCATCCAAAGGTCGTCCTTTGGGCCTCCTTTTGCCATTGTATATTCCCGATAAACCCTGGTCAAGTATTGCTATGGATTTTATAGTGGACCTACCTCCCTCCAGGAATCATAGGGTTATATTGACTATAATCGACAGATTCTCTAAGATGACTCATCTCATCCCACTAATCAAATTGCCGTCCTCTTCTGAACTGGCCTCTTTATTTATAAAAGAGGTAGTACGTTTACATGGCATACCTCAAGATATTACTTCTGACAGGGGTCCACAGTTCATTTCACGGTTTTGGAGGGCATTTTGTGACCAATTAGGTATTATCCTTAACCTTTCTTCTTCTTACCATCCCCAATCTAATGGGGTTACGGAAAGGATGAATCAATGCCTGGAACAATACATCCGCTGTTTCACTTCTGAGCACCAAGACGATTGGATGGAACTGCTTCCATGGGCTGAATTCGCCCATTATAATCTGATGCACGAATCCACTCAACATAGTGCCTTTTTTTTATTAATTATGGTTTTAATTCTACAACTTTGCCGAGTTCTTTTTCATCTACAGGAGTGCCTAGTGTTGACAGCACTCTTAACAATATGAAAGAAACTTGGTTAGGGGTTAAACATATCTTAACTCAAAAGACTCAGATTCAAAAGAATAATTTGGATAGACGACGCAGGGCTGCTCCTACGTTCGTAGCAGGTGACAGGGTATGGTTGAGTACCCGCAACATAAAGTTAAAGGTACCCTCGATGAAATTCGCTCCCCGTTTTATAGGCCCGTTTCAAATACTCAAACGCATCAATCCAGTCTGTTATAGTTTGAGATTGCCAAATACTATGAAGATTCCTAACGCTTTTCATGTTTCCCTTCTCAAACCTTTCATTTGTAATCGTTACACTCAGAATATCTCCACTCCTCCTGCCGCACCCGTGGAGGATCATGTTGAATACGAAGTTAAATCTATATTGGATTCCCGTATTTCTCGGGGTAAATTGCAATATCTCCTTGATTGGAAAGGGTACGGTCCCGAAGAACGGTCATAGGTAGATGCATCTGATGTTCACGCCCCTCGTCTGGTTCGTCTGTTTGAGAGGCAGCGCTCTTGTGGGTCTGGTTCCACCCGCCCTGTGGGCGGTTCTCGAGGGGGGGGTACTGTAACGAGCGCTTACCTTTCCCCGCCGGTCCAGCGCAGCGCCGGGTCCTCCGATACTTCCGGGGGGCGGCTCAGCTCTTCTGACACCGGCCGCTCGGACAAATATGTAGCTTAGTTTCCCATAATGAGCAAGAGTTCAGCCCAATCATATGGAGTAGCAAAAACAAGATGATTGATGGTTAGGGGATATTCACAGAGCAAGTGGAGTGACCAATATAGCTGGAGGAGGGGGGAAGGGAGGAACAATAAAACTATACTTCCTAGCAGGATTATTCTAGACTCTTAGTCTTTAGCTATTGGTCCTGTGTGTTATTACCCATACTGTTCCAGCATTGGAGTGAGAGACAGCCTGGGTAATTGATTCTAGTGAAGATTAGCTTTATGCTGTATCTAGCAGATAGTACTCTTCGATACAGTACACAGTATCAGAGAAAACTGCAAAGTGGGAGATAGGAGATTGGCACATGGCAGGCATTTTGTCATTGATCCTAGTTTGAGACTATTTTTCTTTTTTTTTTTCTTAATGGTTGGAATATTAGAAAATCCTTAAATCCTTTTTTTGTAGAGTATGGTGGCAGGAAAAAAAAATATTTTGCCTAGTCTGGGTAATTTATCCTAGTGTTAGACTAGCTTAGCAATATACAGTTGTTAATATGTTTTGTTTGTTTGTTTTTGTTTATTAACTGTTTGGAGGAAGAAAATCCTATTTTCTTGCTGTTTTCAGTCCAGTGTCTGCTGAGAAAGTGTTTGATCACTGCAGTGTTTCTTAACCCCTTAAGGACTGAGCCAAATGTACACGTTGTGAACAAAACAAAATGTAAACAAAAACCTGGCATTTGCGCTACATGTCTGTCCAACCGTAATTCACCTCTTTCATATTAAATGCACCCACCCTTATTATATATCATTTTATTCAGGGGAAACAGGGCTTGCATTTAATATCAAATATTTAGCTATGAAACATAATTTAATATGAAAAAAATGGGAGAAAATAAAAAAATGTTTTTATTTTTTTTAGTTCTACATGACATTTTAACTGTCAATGTCATAATACTGTTTGCTTTTACTGCAATAAAATACACATATTTGTATTCAGCAAAGTCTCACGTGTAAAACAGTACCCCCTTTGTACAGGTTTTATGGCGTTTTGGGAAGTTACAGGGTCAAATATAGCACATTACATTTAAAATTGAAATTCGCCAGATTGGTTACGTTGCCTTTGGGACTGTAAAGTAGCCCAGGAATTAAATTTACACCCACAATGGCATACCATTTGCAATAGTAGACAACCCAGGGTATTGCAAATGGGGTATGTCCAGTCTTTTTTAGTAGCCATTTGGTCACAAACAAACTGGATCCTAAACTTTCACCTACAGTAATATCTGATACCAAATCTCCATTTGTTAACACTAGATCTAGTATGGCCTCTTTACGAGTTGGCTCCTCAACGACTTGTTTTAGAGACAATCCCAGTAGGGAATTTAGAATATGTGTGCTCCTGGCACAAGCAGCTATTTTTGTTTTCCAATTCACATCAACCTCCTCTATCTCAGAGCCACATACTCACTAAATATATATGTGCTACTGAAATACCTATTTTTTCAGAGTCCATGCACTCATAAAAATGTGTCAGTTTGTGCTTTCTAATTGCCAGTTGATAAAGCCCTGTGTGCAGTGGCGTACACATGACCCATGGGGCCCCGGTGCGAAAATTGATCCGTGGGCCCCCCCCCCGCGCGGGCCGGGCCGCAACACATGGCGGTGGGCACCTGGTCGCAGGGGTTACAGGGCTGTGACCCCTGCGACCGCGGTATGTACGCCAGTGCATGCAGATGCACACAGACTTAAAGGACCACTCTAGGCACCCAGACCACTTCAGCTTAATGAAGTGGTCTGGGTGCCAGGTCGAGCTAGGGTTAACACATTTTTTCATAAACATAGCAGTTTCAGAGAAACTGCTGTGTTTATGAATGGGTTAAGCCTTCCCCTATTTCCTCTAGTGGCTGTCCCATTGACAGCCGCTAGAGGCGCTTGCGTGCTTCTCACTGTGATTTTCACAGTGAGAGCACGCCAGCGTCCATAGGAAAGCATTATGAATGCTTTCCTATGTGACCGGCTGAATGCGCGCGCAGCTCTTGCCGCGCGTGCGCATTCAGCCGACGGGGAGGAGAAGAGGAGGATCGGAGGAGGAGAGCTCCCCGCCCAGCGCTGGAAAAAGGTAAGTTTTACCCCTTTCCCCTTTCCAGAGCCGGGCGGGAGGGGGTCCCTGAGGGTGGGGGCACCCTCAGGGCACTATAGTGCCAGGAAAACGAGTATGTTTTCCTGGCACTATAGTGGTCCTTTAAAGGACCACTACAGACACCCAGATCACATCAGCTCAATGAAGTTGTCTGGGTGTCAGGTCCCTCTAGTTTTAACCCTGCAGCTGAAAACACAGCAGTTTCACTGAGGGTTAATCCTGCCTCTAGTGGCTGTCTCACGGACAGCCGCTAGAGGAGCACACTGAACGTCCATAGGAAAGCATTGAGTAATGCTTTCCTATGGGCGGTTTGAATGCGTGCGCGGTCGCATTCGGAGCTGAGAGGCTGAGGGATCCTCAGGGCCAAGGGAGTCCGGCGCTGGAGAAAGGTAAGTGCTGAAGACACACACACACACACACACACACTTACAGTCGCATACACACTAGCTAACAGACACACACATTTACTGACAGAGATACAGTCAGCGACAGACATACATACACACTCACTTACAAAACATACACTCTCATTGCCAAACACACACTCACTAACAGACATCAAACAGACTCACTAACACACACACACTCAGTAAGACACACACAGTAACACACTCACTGACACTCACTAGCAGACACACACTCACTCTAACACTCACTAGCAGACACACACACTAACACTCACTACCACTCACACACACTAGCACTCACTAGCAGACACACACACTAACACTCACACACACTCACTCTAACACTCACACACACTCACTCTAACACTCACACACTAACACTCACTCTAACACTCACACACACTCACACTCACACACTAACACATGATTTTTTTTTAATATATTCCCCCCAGCCTCCTTACCTCTTGGAGTGCTGGGGGGATTCCCTGGGGTCCAGTGGTGCTGCTGGGCGGGTGGCCGGTCGGGCAGGCGGGCGCTGAAGAGGAAGCACTGAGTGCTCCCTCGCGCGCCCGCCTGCCCGACCGCCCGGCCACCCGGGGTTAGCAGGGCCAGCCTCAGGGGGCCCTGGGGTGGTCGGCTCCTGGGCCCCCCAGGGGAAGAGGCTGGCCCTGTGGCTACATACCGGGTCGCAGGGGCGGCCGGGCCCCCTTGTGGGCCGGGCCCGGTCGCAGTCGCGACCCCTGCGACCCTGGTATGTACGCCAGTGCCTCACTGCACTGTGTCTCCCCTCCTAATCCATAACTTAGCCACGTCTCCCCTCCAAACCCATCACCGCACCGCGTCTCCCCTTCTAACCCTTATAACTTTGCCATGTCTCCTCCCTCACAAATCATTGCCCCGGTATATTTCACCCTCCTGTCTCCACACATCATGCCTCTCAATGACCAAGGAGTGCCTCTGCCCCTTACCTCTCCATTGCAGCGCTCTTTCTGCATATATTTGCGGTAGCACACCCAGATCTGAGATTTGGTTAGAAGGTTTCCTCCAGTGACAGACTCAAAGCTCTCATAGCTTCCATATTTACATAAAACAGCATTCAAGATTCGTAGAGCCTGTAAATAAAGACACATCTCATAAAATCTGTATAGTCTACGAATAACTGGAGCTGTATCAGTGAGATCTGTGGGGAACTGGGTCATGAGAGATCTGTGAGGAACTGGAGATGAGTCAGCTAGAGATCTGTGAGGAGCTGGAGATGGGTCAGCTAGAGATCTGTGAGGAGCTAGAGATGGGTCAGCTAGAGATCTGTGAGGAGCTAGAGATGGGTCAGCTAGAGATCTGTGAGGAGCTAGAGATGGGTCAGCTAGAGATCTGTGAGGAGCTGGGTCAGCTAGAGATCTGTGAGGAGCTGGAGATGGGTCAGCTAGAGATCTGTGAGGAGCTGGAGATGGGTCAGCTAGAGATCTGTGAGGAGCTGGAGATGGGTCAGCTAGAGATCTGTGAGGAGCTGGAGATGGGTCAGCATGAGATCTGTGGGGAACTGGGTCAATGTGAGATCTGAGGAGATGGGTCAGCGAGAGATCTGTAAGGAGATGGGTCAGGGTGAGATCTGTGGAGAGATGGGTCAGAGTGAGATCTGTGGGAAGCTGGAGATGGGACAGCTTGAGATCTGTGAGGAGCTGGAGATGGGTCAGCGTGATATCTATAGGGAGCTGGACATGGGTCAGCGTGAGATCTGTAGGGAGCTGGACATGGGTCAGCGTGAGATCTGTGAGGAGCTGGTAATGGGTCAGCGTGAGATCTGTGAGGAGCTGGTAATGGGTCAGCGTGAGATCTGTGAGGAGCTGGAGATGGGTCAGCATGAGATCTGTGAGGAGCTAGAGATGGGTCAGCTAGAGATCTGTGAGGAGCTAGAGATGGGTCAGCTAGAGATCTGTGAGGAGCTGGGTCAGCTAGAGATCTGTGAGGAGCTGGAGATGGGTCAGCTAGAGATCTGTGAGGAGCTGGAGATGGGTCAGCTAGAGATCTGTGAGGAGCTGGAGATGGGTCAGCTAGAGATCTGTGAGGAGCTGGAGATGGGTCAGCATGAGATCTGTGGGGAACTGGGTCAATGTGAGATCTGAGGAGATGGGTCAGCGAGAGATCTGTAAGGAGATGGGTCAGGGTGAGATCTGTGGAGAGATGGGTCAGAGTGAGATCTGTGGGAAGCTGGAGATGGGACAGCTTGAGATCTGTGAGGAGCTGGAGATGGGTCAGCGTGATATCTATAGGGAGCTGGACATGGGTCAGCGTGAGATCTGTAGGGAGCTGGACATGGGTCAGCGTGAGATCTGTGAGGAGCTGGTAATGGGTCAGCGTGAGATCTGTGAGGAGCTGGTAATGGGTCAGCGTGAGATCTGTGAGGAGCTGGAGATGGGTCAGCATGAGATCTGTGAGGAGCTCGATCAGCGTGAGATCTGTGGGGAGCTGGAGATGGGTCAGCGAGAGAGCTGTGAGGAGCTGGAGATGGGTCAGCAGGAGATCTATGGGGAACTGGATCAATGTGAGATCTGAGGAGATGGGTCAGCGAGAGAGCTGTAAGGAGATGGGTCAGAGTGAGATATGTGGGAAGCTGGAGATGGGACAGCATGAGATCTGTGTGTCCCCTTTGTTCGGCTGTCCGCACCCCCGTTCGGTTACTGAAGCCCCATCTGTGTGATCCATGGCTTCCATGTGTGGCCGCCGTTCGGGCAGATGAAATTTAAATGCAAAGTTATGCACTTCAGCGTAAAGAAAACTTATACCCTTAATGGAAGCGAATTAGGGATAACAACACACAAGAAGGATTTCAGAATTGTTATAGACAACTGTGACGGACTGCCCCGCACCCCGACCGGGTACCTCCGAAAATTGCTGCTTCTTAGTTCTTGCAAACACCATAAGCACTGCACTGGAACACCATAACCACCGTAAACACCACTCTGGACCCAAGACCAGGATCCAGCTTCCAGTAGGTAGACCTCTTAAATCCAGAGAGCAGGAACAGGAACAAGCTCTTACAAGAGCTTATTCTGGGGAGTATAGAGATTATAGCAATCCCCAGAGTGTAGGTAGTACTCCAATCCCCCAAACATGAGCCAAGACTTCATGAAGGCTTGAACAGGTCTGTTTAATGAGCACAGTCATTTCTTTTATACACATTTTCCCCAGTAGGTTACCACCCACGAGACCTTGTGGAGCACAGAACACAAAGGACACAAACCAATCAAAACAATACAATAATGTCCGACACTCCCACATACAGCACACAAGCCCTCCCCTCTGCCTGGTATATAATCAAAGCAGCTAATACAATAACCTAATTATCCACAGGCAGAAAAACACACATTTTCCCCAAAGTCCAGAAAACACCCCAAAACACCACATATCCCCACAAATATATACATCCCTGGATAGCCCTCATCTGGGTGAACAACATATCCAAAAATCATCCAGATCAGAGCAGGGGTTCAAAGGTTTTATGATAGTCACATTTGATCGACCGCAAGCATGGCTTTCATGCTCAAAACAGTTCCACAGATTTAGGCTGTGCGGCCGGTCTATCTTCTCCTCTATCCTGGAGAGAATTGACTTAAGTGGCTGTGGTAACTTAATTATCTCCAGACACATAAAAATACATAACTCTTATAATACAATGTTTAACCTATACGTCCACCCTATCCCCAGATAGCTTGGATCTGAGCGCTCAATATGTCTAATGTTAAAAGTGCCCTATAGTACGAGGAAGGGTGAGGTCAGAAAATAGCAAGGGCTGATGGGAGATTGAGGAGGGACAAAGCAGCCAGTTTAAACAGGTCTGGCAGTGTCCCTGGGTCAACGCACTGCTGGAGAAACAATAGGACAGGAAAAAGGGGGAGGGGAAGAGGCACTTTTTCCCATGGATTTAAAGGGGCAGAAAAAGGGTTTTAAAATCCAATATGCCCACATAAATCTTCTGAAGGGCAATACACCCCAGGGCCATAGTCACAGGGCAAGAGGCTGGCAAGCAGGCCTCTCCAAATCCCAGTGACAAAGGTGCTTTCGTCACAAGTTATAGCCCCACGATAGATATTTGGGAGTGGTCACTCTCATGGGTTAGTTGGAAATGGCGTGCTACGAGTGATTATTTTAATCTTTGTGGAGGATGGCTAACCGATAAATCCCCAGCCTTTCTCTATGCGGATGCGTTCCCTGCCCGCTAGGCAGTCAAGCTATAATAATAAAAAAAAAAGCATAAACCACACACCAGCCGTCTCACACGCATACATACACTCAAGAGGCAGATAGGCAATCGACAGGTTCGTTTTTAAAAGACACCGGATAAGAGATTACCTGTCTTGTAGCCTTCTGGAAGCCGGAGGTGGACACGGAGACAGACCGACACAAAACAGGAGAATACAGGCAAACCACCGTATTAGGAGGTGATCAGGCTCTGGTTGTCCCACTTTCCGGAGGTCCTCTCCGGTCCCGTTTTCCGGTTGTCCGAACCGGCGAGATCCGGTACCCCACGTTGGGCGCCAAATGATGTGGAAATCAATCAATAAATTGATTATCTTACGTATCTGCCCCCGGCCACATTAAAGAAGTAATGCGTGCACGCTCCTAAAGTAATTCACACCAGACACAAGTTTCGGGTTAATGAAAAACTTGAGGAATGTTTATTCTGAGGGGACGGCATGTCCCTTATAAAGCAAAATTACATCATACTGATTCACACACTGATGAATTCACTGTTGACTGTGCATAAAGGTTTAAGAAACACATCTCAACTACTGAAGGCAAATTTAAAGGCACTGTACCCAGATGGGGTCGAGCCCCACCACAAACATAACAGTTGGTCTTGTGTGAATTAGCATTATACCTCATCCACTCAAGCCATAGATTAGTATCTGAAAACCCGGTCTCCACAGCCATTGTGTCTTCAAATGTGGGATTGGCAATAGCCACCATGTCTTTAAGGGTTTTAATGTGTGGTTTGAGAGGGTTAATGGTCATGTGTGTGGAGCCTACCCAGTCAGGTGACGTAAGCATGTCTTGTAAATAGAAGGTTCCTAATTTATTATGTGAGCCACCCCCTTTCCAATACATTCCCATCACGTACTCCCCGGCGTCTCCTGGGCTAGGATGTTCTATGTTTATTTCTGTCAGTTCTATCTAGGGCACTTTGTGGTCTGTAGCCCCATGGTCGGCCAGTATTCCACCCCTCTGCTTTCCAGGTACTACAGTGATGTCCCCAATGCCCACCTGTCACACAAATATATGGGTCCTTTTTGATTGGTATGTCTTTGTATATTGCTGAGTGTTGTGACTGTGGAAAAGTACAAGAGACAATATCACAGTAATCAAAGGTGTAAGTAGCTATGTGTGTGTTTGAATAATTATACCAAAACGTGTAGACATGATTATCTTTGGTAATAGCAACTTGTTGGGCCTTTAAGAGGCCTAGCAGCAGATATAGGTACAGGAAACTCATACTTTGGTGGGATCTACTACCTCTGGATCAGGGACTTTCTTGCAGTGTGAGGCGTGTATCCAGGTATTCTTCCCAGCCAACTTTACAGAGGTAGATGTAGTCAATAGGACCTGGAATGGACCATCGAAACTTGGCTCAAGAGTGTGTTTTCTTAGGAACTTCTAGACCATGACCCAGTCACTAGGAAGTAACTTATGTGTGCCCGTATCTGTCTCAGGATCTGGAATAGAAGAAAACACCTGCGCATGGATTTTGGTCAAGGCACGAGAGAGTGCAGTTATATAATCTACCTGAATTTGAAGTTGCGGAGGGAAATAACAGCCTAACCTGGGTGCTGTTCCAAACAGGATTTCATAGGGGGACAGGTTAAACTTCCACCTTGGGTTGTACCTTACACTGAACAATACTATGGGAAGACTCTCCGGCCAGGGTAGGTTAGTTTCTTGGGACATTTGAAGCATTCTGGCTTTCAGAGTGCCATTCATGCGTTCTACCTTACCACTACTCTGTGGATGATAGGGTGTGTGGAATTCAAGGGTCACCCCCAGTGCTGCCCAGATCTCCTTGGTTAGCAACGCGGTGAAGGATGTACCCTGGTCACTTTCAATTACTTCAGGGACTCCGCATCTGCAGATGATTTCGGTAAGCAGACGCTTTACCGTGGTCTTCACGGTGAGATTAGCGACCGGGAAAGATTCTAGCCATCCTGAAAACATATCCACCATGACCAGTGCGTATTCATACCGGTCACTTTTTGGCATTTGGATATGGTTAATTTGGATCCTGTGGAAAGGGTACTGTGGTTTGGCCAAATGATTTGGTGCAGCTTTGATTATTTCCCTGGATTACATTTAGCACAGATGGTGCAGGATTTGCAGTAATTTCGTGTCAGGGTAGTGATTCCGGGTGCTTCAAAATATTTATCAATCAAATGAGTTCATGAGGTGCTTTGATAAGTGGGCTGGTCCATGGGCCCACTGAACAACAGCTGGACACATATTCCTGGTAGGAAGAATTTGAGATTGATTGTGTATACTTCATTCTGAAGGGTTGCTCCTTTGTCTTTCCAGCTTTGCTTTTCTTGTGGGGTGGCGGCAGCCTGTTGTTCCATTAGGAGCTTGAGATCAGTGGATAGGGTTTGCATAGTGTAAATAGGAGTCTTTTCGACGGACACTCTTCTGTCCACTTCCTGACATTGGCGCGCCGCATCCTTAGCGGCCTGGTCGGCTAAATAGTTGCCATGTGCTTCTTCTGAGTTTAGTTTCCCGTGGGCCTTTACCTTCAGTATGGCCTCTTCTGGCAGTAGCAAGGCATCCATCAATTCTTTGATAGCTGCGCCATGTTTCACAGGAGTACCTGTTGCTGTAAGGAACCCCCTGGTTTTCCAAATTAAGCCAAAATCGTGTGCCACTCCTAGGGCATATCTTGAGTCTGTATAAATATTGACACGCTTCCCTTCAGACATCTTGCATGCCACCGTAAGGGCTATTAGTTCGGCTTCTTGTGCTGACTAAGAGGAGGGGAGTGGAGATGCTTGGAGTATTTGGTCCTCAGTGGTGACTGCATAACCGGTATGATATTGGCCCTGCTCATCTGCGAATCTAGAACCATCCACAAACAGAGTGTAATCAGGTTATCGAGGGTAACCAACAATTTTGCAATTTATGGTCCTCTTAGTGACTCCATGTCTTGGCCATGGGGCCGAGTTCTTTCCATGAGAGATCTGGAGACTTGGTGAAAGAAACATGAGGAACAGCCACCTCCCAATGGTGATATACATGCGATACCTCCATAGGCAGGAAGACTAGGATAACAATGTTTCCGTTGGAGTCACAGAACAGGTCTGTCAGTGTGATGTGTATTTCCACTAGGCTGAATAATTCTTCTTCATAGTATGGGTCAGGACCTGGTAAGTGGCTCTCGGGCTGTTCATCATGTGGAACTGTGGGCTTTTCTACTTGAAGCTCCATGTGAACATCAGGATTTATGTCCAGGATGTACCAGTATTGCGGCACTCCCCCCTTGGGAAGTGGCAGAAGAGTGGCCGGATTTAAGAAGTAACATCTTTGTAAGGTGACGTTATCGGGCAAAAGGAGGGAGGTTTGAAGTCGTAGATGTTTCTGGGATGAGAGATGCTTGGGCTGGAGTTTATTCAGGATTGCAGCAATATCATGGGGAGCAAGAAATGTCAGTTTATGTCCGAGAACAAAGTCATTAGTCTTGTCCAGTAGGGCACTTGCAGCAAAAACAGCACGCAAACAGGAAGGACCACCTCTGGCCACAGGGTCAAGCATGCAGGAAAAGTACCCAATAGGGCGTTGACGGGAACCATGGGATTGAGTAAGGACCCCTGAAGCATGGCCCATCTTCTCTGAGACGAAGAGTTTGAACGGTAGCTGGTAGTTCGGGAGACCCAAAGCAGGGGCAGAGGAGATGGCTCTTTGAAGAGCATGGTAGCAAGAGCGGGCAGTAGAAGACAATGAAAAAGGTTCAGTCTTTAAAGCATCGTAGAGAGGTTGCATGAGTTGAGAAGCCTCAGGGATCCAAGATCTGCAGTATGTGATGAGGCCCAAGAAGGCATGAAGAGCTTGATGGTTAGATGGAAGCGAGAGATTTGTAATGGCAAGTATTCTGTTCCTGGTTAGGTAACGGGTGCCATGAGAAAGGCAATGTACCAAGAAGACCACAGAGGGCTGGCACCACTGGAGTTTCGCTTTGGAGGCTTTACAGCCTTCTTCAGCGAGGAAACAAAGGAGATCTTTGGAATTCAGTTCAGCAGTTGAAAAATCATCCGCACAGAGAAGTAAATCATCGACATACTGGAGCAGGACCACATCTGGGTGTGATTTCTGCCAGGGCTCTAGGACAGCTGACATAGCTTTGGCGAACTGGGTTGGTGAATTTTGTGCACCTTGAGGCATAACAGTCCAAGTATACTGTTGACGATCGTGTGTGAAAGCAAACAGAAATTGACAAGAGGAATCCAAGGGTACGCTGAAAAAAGGCATTTGCAAGATCAACCACCGTGAAGAATTTGGCAGTTGGAGGAACTTGTGACAATAATGTATGTGGATTAGGGACAACAGCAGTATCGCGATTTGTGACTTCATTAACAGCGCGGAGATGTTGGACCATACGGTATTGATCAGGTTGACCCTTTTCAGTTTTCTTCTTTACTGGAAATAGAGGAGTGTTACAAGGTGACACACATTTGACCAGAGCACCTTTTGCCGCCAACAGGCTATCTACTTGTTTGCAAATGGCAAGGGCTTGTGCAGGTTTCAAAGGATACTGTGGTCTTCGTGGAATGGCTCCCTCAATTAGTGTAACTACCACAGGTGGGACTCATAGGCGTCCGATGTCATCTGGGCCTGTAGACCAAAGCTTGGTTGGAACCCTATCCAGGGCACTGGGAGCTTCTGGGACCCTTGCCTCCTCGGTGGGGGATGTCATGTGAAGTAGTAGAGGCAGAGAGCATAGGACAGAAGTATCTTTGCGAGAAAGGGGTGTTAGTAATTGAACCTGGCCATCAGCAGTGAAGGAGATATAAGCTTGAAGACGAGATAGAACATCTGCTCCTAAAAGGTTAATTGGACAGGTGGATGAAACAACGAACCGAGAGAGAATATCAGAACCAACCCGCAAGAGCTTAGTCAACGGGTTGTTTCGGGGGCTACCATCAACACCTACACAAGAAACATCTGTGTCAGATAGAAAAGATGGGTCAGGCAGGTCTTGTTCTCTGAGAACACTGCAGGCTGCACCTGTGTCAACTAAAAAGGTAGTAGGATGACCCTCAACTGGAAGGACAACTGTAGCTAGGGGTCCCCCCTTGTCCCCTGTAGACACTGCCATGACAGGGGTGTTAGACACAGGTTTGCCGGTTACCTATTGTACCAGGTCTAAATGAGATTGATCGGGGCCAGTGTAATGACGTGTTGGTGTGGTGGAGTGGCTGGCCTGATGGGTTTGACGTGTAGGGCGATAATGACTTGGTGCTGGGTGTTCATCTAGTTGGAAATCATCTGTATCGTAACAGGGGAAGGGTGAGCATAGCTGCGTGGTGGGGCGTGAGTATTAGAATGAGAGGGTGGGTAGACAGCTTGGGCATATTCCTGAGGAGGGTAATACGATGCATGTGCCTGAGGATATACCTGTGGTGGGTAACCTGGTTGGAGACCACATACGTGACCGCAGGGGCATTGGGGTACATAGGGGGTCTAGTGGTCGGCTGTCTAGTCACCCTGGGATGTGGGCAATCTCTCCGGAAATGGCCTGGTTGGTTACAATTAAAGCATGCCCTGGTCTGAGGCCTAGGTGCCATGTGCTGTCCCTGTGTAGCTGACAGGGTGGGTAGCGTGGGATAAACTGGAGGCACCTGGGTGGGTCTGGTGACAGGGCTGGAAACGGAAAACATAAGAGGATTACTTTTCCTTTGGGTTGGCTGTAGAGCAGATTCCAGGCCCTTAGCAACTAGTAAGAGAGTGTCCAAAGGAATAATTTTGTATTCAGGGCGAGAGAGCACTAAGCCTTTCCTGATGGCCTCTTTAAGGCCAGCAACAAAGGCAGCTGATAACATCTGGGTATGTGCTTTATTATATACACTGAATCCGAGATCGGAGAAAGTTTGAGTCAACCGTGAATGGTATTTTTCCACAGATTCGAGTTTGTCTTGGATAATATCATTAATACAAGTGCCTTGGTCAGCAAGTTTATCCTGGGCCCATGCCCAAAGCTGGTCACAGAATGCAATACCTGACTGGTAATCCATATCGGTAGTGAGTAGAGCGTCATTAAAGCTCCTTTCCATAATGGGCCAATAGGCATCCCCAGCCTTGATCTCACACAAACTATACAGATCACGCCAAGCTGCTGAGTATGTCTTACGAATCTGGGCAATCCTCCGGAAGAAAGGCATGGGCTGTTTCTCAGGGTCGGGGAGAGAGGTTACTAGGGTTGCACTTGACATACATCGGGGCAGCCCCGTCCACTAGCGGTAAAGCAGGGGTTGATTGTTTCATGAGAAACCCTATTATTTGTAGGGCGGAACGGGCTAAGCCCTTGAACACTGTCATCCTCAGGGGAACCGAGAATGGGAGACCATGGTAGCTAGCAACATCTAGTGAATTAGGGGCTTGCGCATCGGAGCCAGGAGTACCGACAGCGATGGCCTGGGGAGTAACTAACTGGGAGGTAGCAGGATGGAAGCCTCACGCAGCAGGGGAATTTCCTACAGCAGAGGGCTGTCCCGACACAATAGATTCATTAGACCCAACGATTATGATTGAGTAACTGGGAGTGGCCATGGAAGAGGCAGGAACAGGAGCCGGACTGGGTGAGGGGGCGGGCTGAGGGAGATGAGCGGAGAGGGCGGAGATGAGTGACGAAAGGTCGAAGGAGGGAGTAGTAACAGGACTGGAGGAGGAAAGAGGAGAGGAAACTGGAATGGGGTCAGAAGGGGTGGCGGGGAGAGGAGGGGGAGGAGCAGGAGTAGAGGGAATAGTAAGGGAAGCTGAGAGGGCGGAAATGAGTGACGAGAGGTCGAAGGAGGGAGGGGTAACAGGGCTGGAGGCGGGAAGAGGAGGGGAAACTGGAACGGGGACAGAAGGGGTGGCAGGGATAGGAGATGGAGGAGCAGGAGTAGAGGGAATAGCAAGAGAAGCAGAAAGGGTGGAAATGAGTGGCGAAAGATCGAGGGACAACAGGAGTGGAGGTGGGTAGAGGAGGGGAATCTGGAACGGGGACAGAAGGGGTAGCGGGGAGAGAAGATGGAGGAGCAGGAGTAGAGGGAATAGCAAGAGAAGGGGGGAGTTAGATGTGACAGGGGGACCAACGGGTGAAGGCGAAAGGGGGACAGGAGCAGAGGGAACGACAGGTAGAGGAACTAGAGGGATGTCAGGGGAGGCAACACGTAAAGGTGGGAGGGGAGCGGGAATAGGAGGGATGACAGGGGGAGGTGGGATAGGGGTGATGTCGGGGGAAGTGATGGAGGGAGGCAGCTGAGGAATTGCATCAGTAGCGACAAAGGAAGGTGGAAGAGGGGTGGGAAGGAGGACGGGATAATAATAGGATCCATCCGCTCCGAGAAAGGGGTACAGAGAGGGTGGGGACAGGAGGGCTTATGACAATTGGAGGTGGCAACTAGGCGGTGACTGGGGAGGCGGGGCGAGATTCATTCACGGTAATCTGGGCGCCATCATAGGGCGGTGGCCGGGGAACATTAGGGGACGTTTCATCATTACATACATTTCTGTGATATACATAAATCTTGTGTCCTTCAAAATCCAATTCTTCCTCTGATCAACCCTCCCGCTTGAGTCCTCTTGCTACACGATGCCAAGCCGTCACGGCTTTCGTCAACCCATTATCCAATAACAAGCCCTCTTTATCATGAGCAATTTCCTCCAAAACTCTGGCTGTAATCTACCACTGGGTGACATTTGAAAACCACAAATCTTTGCTATCTTCTTTATCTTTAATATAGCCTCTCCTCCTGCTCTCTCCTTAACAATATCACAAGCTAAATAGCCTTTAGAAGGTCTGGCATGTTTTTGTACCATTTTTACCAAACAAGGCTTCCCCTGTAAGAGGGACAGAGAAAGGGAGAGGAAAAAGAAGGAATGTCTACAGTGCTCTACTGCCACGAGGAATTGATTCCTGTGCGTCTTCCCCAAACGTAGACTAGTCACTGGATCCACCCACCTGAGATGGTGGCCACGGATCTGAGAGGGCGAGCGTAGGTGACTAACACAGCTCTGGGCAACAAGTACAGAAGAGATAGAGAATAAGGGAAAAGGTGAACGTGGAGAGACTAAATCAGAAGACATTTACATGAGTCACAGATATAGAGATGTGCACAGAATCCGGAATCAAAGACAAACCACACAACACACACACACACGACTAGGGTACCCACACGATGACTACAACTGAATAGAAAACATAAAGTAACAAAGAACAGTAAAATTACAAGCATAATAATAACTAAACAGCAAATGAACCCTGTTCTACTCTGAATAGTACAGCAAAATTCCCAGCCTTTCTCTAGGCGGATGCGTTCCCTGCCCGCTAGGCAGTCAAGCTATAATAAATCCCCATCCTTTCTGTAGGCGGATGCGTTCCCTTCCCGCTAGGCAGTTAAGCTATAAAAATAAAAGCATAAACCACACACCAGCCGTCTCACACACATACATCCACTAGAGCGGCAGATAGGCAATCGACAGGTTCGTTTTTAAAAGGCACAGGATAAGAGATTACCTGTCTTGTAGCCTTCTGGAAGCCGGAGGTGGACACGGAGACAGACCGACACAAAACAGGAGAATACAGGCAAACCACCGTATTAGGAGGTGATCAGGCTCCGGTTGTCCCACTTTCTGGAGGTCCGCTCCGGTCCCATTTTCCGGCCGTCCGAACCGGCGCCCCTTGTTGGGCGCCAAATTATGTGGAAATCAATCAATAAATTGATTAGCTTACGTATCTGCCCCCGGCCACATTAAAGAAGTAATGCGTGCACCCTCCTAAAGTAATTCACACCAGACACAAGTGTCGGGTTAATGAAAAACTTGAGGAATGTTAATTCTGAGGGGACGGCATGTCACTTATAAAGCAAAATGACATCATATGCATTGTCAGAGATAACATGAAATAATACATCAATAATTGGTTAGGTGTTAAGTGGTTAATTTAGTGCTCTTCCTACCGGGTGTGATGTCACTGGTATCTTGGTAGTCTCCCCCAGATTCCAGCGCCATCTTGTTAATGAGGGTGTGAGTCGATGTCGAGAAGGAAACTCCCTAGCGGCCATTTTAGGTAAATCACATAGAAAGTTGAATAATGCTGATTGTAGTTATGCTGAGTAAATAGGCATTTTACTAACATGAATTGGGTTAATATTTTTGTCTACAACACTCACCTTTAGGGCTCTTGTGGTTTGCCCCACATAGTGGAGACCACAAGTACAAGTAAGTAAATACACAAGGAATGTGGAATTACAATTTGTGTCCTGTCTAACGAGGTACTGTTGCTTTAAGGCGGACGCGGCACACCACATTACTGCACCTTTGTGTGCTGCTCTGCTCCGTCCATGACATACGTGGTGACTTGCACGTTCGGAATCTGACCTGTTTAGATAGAGCTGAGGTGACACATAATCACCTTTCCAGGTAAGGGTAGAGCTCGCTGGTTGTATCCATCCCTGCTACAGCATCTTTCCAGAGTCGTGCGGACTTGGTCTGAGGGCGTTAGCAACTTACATGCTTACCCTTGTTGCAGGTTTTTATATTTGTATTATATTTTAAAGGACCACTATAGTGCCAGGAAAACATACTCTTTTTCCTGGCACTATAGTGCCCGTCCCCCTCCCGCCCGGCTCTGGAAGGGGGAAAGGGGTTAAAACTCCTTCTCTCCTCCTCCATTCCGCCCCGTCGGCTGAATGCGCACGCGCGGCAAGAGCTGCGCGCGCATTCAGCTGGTCGCATAGGAAAGCATTTACAATGCTTTTCTATGGATGCTGGCGTGCTCTCACTGTGAAAATCACAGTGAGAAGCACGCAAGCGCCTCTAGTGGCTGTCAATGAGACAGCCACTAGAGGAAATAGGGGAAGGCTTAACCCATTCATAAACACAGCAGTTTCTCTGAAACTGCTATGTTTATGAAAAAATGGGTTAACCCTAGCTGGACCTGGCACCCAGACCACTTCATTAAGCTGAAGTGGTCTAGGTGCCTAGAGTGGTCCTTTAATTTGTTTTGTGATTATAGCACTATAAATATTTGGCATCATACTGTCTGCCTTTTTGGGGGGTTTTATAGACCCAGTACTGGTTTACCACTTATGTGATAAACCCCTTCCTTCCATTTTGGGAGGATAGTGCTACAGCCTACACCAGTGGTAGTCAACCTTTTTCCACTTACCGCCCACTAATGCATCTTTCTTGATGGAAAAATTTCCTTACCGCCCACCAGTTTTCGCGCAAGCGCGAATATTTTTTAGAAAGGAGGGTGTTTTAAAAAATACATAAATGAACGTACATTTATCTTTTTATTTCTACTTTATGCATGTTTATAATGTTTTTAACTTTATAAAGTTTAATGAGGAAGCAATAAAGTAAATTGAACTTACCTTTACTAGTGATTAATGAGATCCTTGAGGTTGATGCTGCGAGACTAAATATTTGATATCTGGTTCGATTTTCATAAGGAACAAACGAAGGTCTCCTCTTTCAGTGATAATCGGAAGACTTCTTTGTTTGCTCATAAAATGATTTCTCATCTGTGCGTCAGCTCCCCTCCTCTCCCTCCTCAATTCCCCTTCCCACCTTTTTCCCCTTTTTTCTATTTTTTAACCTTCCTTATAGCAATGCCCAGTAGGAAGGCTGAGCTAGGTAGCCCACTTACTATTATTAGTCAACAACAATTCTCTCCTTTTCCTTTTCTTTCCTTCTCCTTTTTTACAAGTACTCTACTCCTTCTTTCCTCTATACTAGAAGTACTCTACTCCTTCTTTCCCCTATACTAGAAGTACTCTACTCCTTCTTTCCCCTATACTAGAAGTACTCTACTCCTTCTTTCTCCTATTCTACAAGTACTCTGCACCTTCTTTCTTCTATTCTACAAGTACTCTGCACCTTCTTTCTTCTATTCTACAAGTACTCTGCTCACAGGCAAACACATACACACACACACACACACTCACATTGAAACACATACACACAAATATACACATACTCACACATGCACTTACAGACACTCACACATGCACAGACAGACCCACAGACACACACACACTTACTGACACACAGACAGACACATACACTTACAGACAGACACATACACTTACAGACAGACACATACACTTACAGACAGACACATACACTTACAGACACAGACACACACATACACTTACAGACACAGACACACACATACACTTACAGACACACACACATACACTTACAGACACACACACATACATACACTTAGAGACAAACACATGTACACACAAATTATTAATATTAAATATCCACCCAGCCTCCCTACCTGGAGAGCTGGTGTGGATCTGTCCCTGGGGTCCAGTGGGGCTTCACTTAGGCGGGCGGCTAATCAGACGCAGCGAGGGAGCTCTAACCTCTCTGCTCTGCTCCCTCGCGGACTGTCTACGGATGCCGGGAGCCGGAATATGACATCATATTCCGGCTCCCGCGGCATCAGCAAACATCGCGCGAGGGAGCAGAGCAGAGAGGTTAGAGCTCCCTCGCCGCGACTGATTAGAACGCTGCCATGCCGGGGGTCCAGAAGGTGGCCTGGCAGGAGGGAGCGCTTCCTCCTGCCGGTCACTGAAGACTTGCGCATGCAGAGCCGCTCGCGCCCGCCCAAAAGGAGAAATCCTCTTAAAAAGAGGATTTAGCCTCAGAAATCCCTACCGCCCACCTGGAATCCTAAAACGCCCACTAGTGGGCGGTAGGGACCAGGTTGACGACCCATGGCCTACACTCTTGAGCTGTTTGCTTGTAACAGTGTTCTGCTAAACTATCAATAATTTTATTCTACATTGAGATACATTGTTTGGCTCTCTATTAAAGCGGCACTGTCATGCCGAACTTACCTTCCTCAATCTCTTCCTCTTCTCCCCCTCTCTCTGGATCTGTTCTTCTTTTCTTCCTGTCTTCTTTAAAATCATAAGACAAAGTAGGGACTCTTTGCTATATGGAGGATTCCTCCGCTTGACCAGCTCTGACCAGCAGAGGAGCAAAGTGTGCTTCATTTCCGCTGGTCAGAGCAATTTTCCCATGATCCTTACCTTTCCTGTGTGTTCCAACAATGCTTCCTGTCATTTTACACAAAACTGCCGAATTGCGTTTTAACTGAATGAGAACAGTATGTTCGTTTGTTTTAGAACGCAATTCGGCACTTTATTCGGATCGCAATTTCATTCGAGTGAATGAAACTCCGATCCTATTCTTGCTGTGGCTGCATCTTGCAGCCGCTTAGTAGATAACTCCCTAATTCCCACGGTATCAGTGAGCTATCTACTAAAAGGCTGAAAGACCTAAATTGGTACTTAGTATTAGTAAATGATGACCTACTGTCCCCCCCCCCCGGCCCTCTCCCCTGGGCGGCGGATGGGGGCCATAAAGTTAATGGGGGGGGGGGGGACCTACCCTAAGGCAATTCCCCCAACCCCCCCCACAAGGTGACGAGGGGTCCCCAAGCCCCTAGTCACCCACTCCCCCACCCAAATAATGAGTCCCCTACCTACCCCTCACCCTAAAAAATAGTGAGGGGGGAATAAAATAACTATACTGTAAAATAAAATTAAACCTACCATTCGACGTCTTCTTCTTTCTTAAATCTTCATTTTTCAGCCCCAAAAAAGGCCAAATATATAACCATCATAACCGTCGAATTTAAAATAAAATAAAAAACCCGAGTGCAAAAAAATAATCCATCTTCACCCATGGAGGGCTCCGCGCAGACTGAGCTCCGCAGGGCTGGGGAAGGCTTAGAAAGCCTTGCCCCACCCTGCAATTTTACACAGCGTGGGAAAATTCAAAAGAACTTTCCCACGCTGTGTAAAATGACACAGAGCACCGTAGACACGCCCCTACTTGCGGTATAGCGAGTAGGGGCATTGGAGAGATTTTAATCTTCCTTGTGCTATTATGGGGGTCATATTGACCCCCATAGAGTGAGGGGGGACATGGGGGAGCTTATGAAGTGGCGGGGAGCACAGCTCCCTGTCGCTTCTATAGTTACATATTACAAGGAGGGAGCTGCATGCCGGTAGCTCCCTCCTTGTAATAAACTGAAAGAACAAACGATCACTGATGGTGTTTGTTTGTTCGGCTGATAGTTCTATTCATTCGTCTGTCTGATGAATGAATAGATGAAATTCCCGTTCGTATGTCCAAGTGTTTCACTGGGCATGTGCAGGAATCTCACAGTCTATCTAGTGTGGGCTGATGACGTGTCCCACAGGGACTTCCTCTACCCACACAAAGATGGCGGCGCCCTGAATCAAGATCGGGGCAGAAAATAAGGAAAACAAAATAGGTAATGAGGGGGGCTTAGGGGCATTTGGGGATAACTAGGGTGTCAATTAGAGATAGTAGAGGCCGGAGGGTGGTTAAAAATAACAAAACAGGATTTGGCATGACAATGCTGCTTTAATGTGACTGCAGCTGTTTATTTACGACCTTGCAATCAGAATTAATTTTATGTTCATTCATGGTACTCATATAGTGTTTTTTATTATTGAGAGTTATATTTTATCAATTACAGTTGTCTGTGTGTAAATACATGAAATATTATTGGGTCACATTTTATCAATAGGAGCGCACACACCAACACTTTTTTAATATTAGATGGGCTCCAGCTGTACGGTAACACGTTAGATATCAATGTGTTACCTGGGGAAGGAACTGGTCCGATGCCTGGTTGTATTTGTCTAACACTGTGATAGGCAGGGGCTCCTGATACTCAAACTGTGGATTGTATGTATAGCCGGAGAGAAAGAATTTGTCTCGTTCCTGCTGAACATTGCTGGGTCTCAGAGCTATGAGAATGCAAGAGCTCTTCTTAGGCGCCCTATGCTCATTTCTGGCTCTGCTGATAGATGGTAGAGACCCCGCACTTCGCATTATGCCCCTGCAGCTGCTGCCACTGTTGATGGTGCAGGAACTCTCACTGCGTCGAATCAAGCTCCACTGGCCCATGTACACAGGACATCCTGCTGGCTTGGCGTGACATGAAGAGGCTAAAGAACATGGAGGTTTGAAGGACGCTGGGAAGCAGCTGGTTTGCGAAGAGTTCTTCCTCTGTCGAGAGCAATCCAGGAGATATGCACATTTCTGTCTGTCGTATGCCTGGAGCCCTGAATCCAGCACCATTGTGCAGGTAGAAGTCTACTCCCAACCACCACCTTAGAAACAGGAGACCAAAACACTTTACTAGTAACAAGGGTTAATGACCACACCAATGAACATACAACAAGCACAAGTTCTACGAAGCTGCCCTGTTAACTGCATAGCTGCTACCTATTTTCTCCCTCAGACAGTATCCCCCCATAACTATACTCTCCCTCAGACAGTATCCCCCCATTACTATACTCTCCCTCAGACAGTATCCCCCCCATAACTATATTCTCCCTCACACAGTATCCCCCCCATAACTATATTCTCCCTCAGACGGTATCCCCCCCATAACTTCTCTCTCCCTCAGACAGTATCCCCCCATAACTATATTCTCCCACTCAGACAGTATCCCCCCATAACTATATTCTCCCTCACACAGTATCCCCCCATAACTATATTCTCCCTCACACAGTATCCCCCCCATAACTATATTCTCCCTCACACAGTATCCCCCCATAACTATATTCTCCCTCACACAGTATCCCCCCCATAACTATATTCTCCCTCAC